GCTCGTCGCAGATGAAGTGTTCCGTGCCCTTTATTCCTCACTGCACTACCTGGAAAGGTGTACACACAGGGTGACAAAACCAAGCGTGTTAATACACCGGTTTCCAAGAGAGCCTTCCGCAGGGGAAGTATGGCCTTGGGACTTTCTGGAAATTTCCACAGAGGGGGCGCAACGTAGACCTTGACCCTCACCTGATTCCTCGGGTGGCTAGAAGAGGCTCGCGTGGGGAGCTCAACTCTAGATGACGCTTCTGGTGCCGGCCTGTCGGGCACAGAGGAAATCCTCATGCCTCTGGGATCCCCCCGGCTGGCGAGGGATCCAGACAGCGTCCCAGGGGTTAGGAAGGAAAATCAATTTAACAATTACATATGTGGGGAGTTTACAGAGTTGTAAATTCTAAAAGTGGGTGCTGGGGATATTAATCTTGTGTTTAGGACCTGGGCCGTGACCTCATCCTGACCCTGTGAGTAGCGAGGCGCTAGTTAGCCACGTCCACTGAAGAGGCTACACCTGTGAGCCCCCGCCTGAGTCACGCGGGCCTTAGAGAGGGGCAGAGATGGCGTCACCAGTCAGGAAAAGGGCCGAAGCTCAGGACATGAGGATCCCTTTCAATTAGGGTGGGGACTTAGGCCAGAAGCTCCTCCTCATTGCTCTTATCCCAGAATTGGGGTGGGGGGAAGCTGGGTCACCCCCCTGGTGGCGCAAAGAGTTAATTCTCCACACTATGCCGCTATCTGCAGCGTGTGTTTCAGTAGATCCGCCTGTTGTGCTCCCCACTCTGTCTCTGGTGAATCCTCTCACACACACCCCCACCTCTAGCCTACACCCCAGCTCTTGTATGCATAAATAAATCTTAAATCCTTTGCGGCCAGAGAGGGCAATCTGAGGGGACCAGTTCTAAGGATCTTGGGGTATCTGATTTGGGCACCTTTGAAAGTCGTCACCAGGCTCCAAAGCCGAACCTGCTGGCGTCCAGCGCCCTTGCTGACCCTCGCCTGCCCCATGGAGTGCGCTCCCACGGAAGCCTCAGGCCCAGGCCTGCTGACGGCCGCTGTCTTCTGAACGCGCCCAGTGCTTGACCACTGTCTGGAGCAAAGGTGGAGGACCACGGCACGGAATGCCTTCAAAAGATGCGTTTGGGGCTTTTTTACTAGGATTGGCTGTTTTCCTCTTATTTTCTCACCCACTGTCTCCTTACATATAAGGTTGTTTCCACGATGCAGCACACCCAATTCTTGCGGACGCTGCCTGGCCAGTGAGGAGGCCACAGACATGATAACTGAGACCCGGTGACAGGGCTGCTCACGCGGCCAGGAAAGTGCCTACACCTGTCACCTGGGCATCATCAAGGGCAGGCGTCGACCTGGGGCCCCGGGCCACTGGGTGCCATGTTCTGACTGGCCAGGCCAGGCCCAGGGCTGCCTGGCACCCGTAGCGCCACCCGGGCAAGAGCCAGCGGTGCTGATGCAGGATTCTGTCAAAGAACAGAAAAACCAACCACCCAAGATTTACAACAAATGTGTCTTCTGTCTCATATCCCTGTGAACACACCTGTCACGCCAGGAAGCGCTGTGCTGAGAGGCACCCTTTTGTCTGAGAGACTTGCTTCGGGAGAACTAGCTTGTAATTTAACCAGGGAAGGTCTCTGAGGAGTTGCCTCCGAGAACCATTTATTGAGCTCCTTGACTTTTTTTTTTCCTCAACTGCTCTTCATATTGATTAGTAATAAACGCTTCCATCTCCATTCAGAACACTTAAGACTCATGCTCAGGGTTGAAAGTGGTGTCCCTACTGTAGCTTCCTCTGCCCTTGAGCAGAAACAGGGCGGGAGAAAAGAGAGCCACGGGACTTGGGCAGGTTAAGAGCACCCAGTGGTTCTGCCTCAAAAAGACTAGGTCCTCACTGCCCACCTAGCACCCCCTTCCATTAAAGCACATGCTCAACAGCTGGGGGGTGCCCAGGAGTCTCAGGAAAGCCCCGCTGCTCCAGGTGAGCCCTGGCCTGTTAGAAAGGCCACGCCTAGTCCCACTCCAGACCAGCTAGCTCAGAATCTGCATCCTCACAAGGCCCAGGGTATTTGGAGGTTGGAAAGCACTGGCCAAAAGCCCCCCCCAAGAACCAACTCAGTTACTGTCCCCTCAAGACACACCAGAATGAGGCCAAGGAGAAGGAAAAGCTGTGAGGCGCCATCGCCTGCCCCAGGGCTACCGGGAACAGGGCGGGGGCTGTTGGGTCCTGGGTCAGGAGGCTGTGGCCACACCTGGGTGCATTCCAGAAATTTTTTTCAGGGGTTTATTGGTGCCTCCCAAATGGACCCTACTCCCCAGCATTGGGGGCTCTTTCATTCCTGCCTTCCTGATAAGGCAGTGATATCACCTTCCTGATATCACCCCGTGACAGAGCCGGGTGGGGGGGGGGTCACCCACCCCCACAGGGCATCTGACAGTCATGAGTGAAGGAAAAGGCCACTTCGGGGTCCCCCAGCCCCTCCTGGGGCTCCCTGGACTTGCGAGGTTCAAGAACTGCAGTGAGAGGCACAGAAAGTCCTAACAGTCAGACAGCACCCTTGGGGCCTGCACCCGCCAGCTACCTGGCCTTACAGCTGCCTGCCTTGTAGCTGCTCAGTTGGAGAGGCAGGCAGGGGCCCACGAGCCTGTAAACGCCAGCGTGACGCCGTCACCCGCAAGGATGGTGACGTTCTCCAAGGACGGTCGACTCACAAGCAGGCATCACTGAGAATCCCCCACTGGCCATGGCGCCGGCCTGGGCCTCTGACATGGACACAGACACCCTCATCCCGGGTTTCTTTTCTGGAATGCAAAGTCTGGGCTTCTATCAATAACAAGCTCTTTCCAGTACAGACACCTTATTCATAATTCATCACAAAGAACGTCCCTCCAGTCGCGTCTGGGCGGGTCAGTCTTTTTTTGGAAAGGCAACTGAGGCCATTCAGAAGCTGGTGAAAAAATAGGAAGGAGGGACTCTCATAAAATCAATGGCTCATTCAGTCTTTTCCTATAAACGTGGGCGTTGTGTAAACGAGACAGCTGATGGTTTCTTTTACTCGGTGCCGTTTCACCTAGTCAACCCCTTTGGCCACTGGCTCTGGGACACTCGGGCAAACAGCTGGCCCTCGGCCTGTCCTTGAAGAAGCTGGAAACACTTTCAGAGTCAGAAGCCAAAAATACATAATCTCGTCCCACTTGAAATTGGAAACTCTGGCTGGCTCTTTCTTGAGCAACCGAGGGGCAGGGCCTAGGTGTAAACGCCGGCCTGAAGTTCAGCGCCAGACATGGGGATGACACCCTGCTGGCCGGGACATGCTTCCTGACGGTGCGATCGGCCACAGCAGCTCCCCAGATGAAGCAGAGAACCCTTCCTCTGCAGCAGCAGCATCTGTTTTCAGATCTGCTTCTAAACTACCAGTCGGGAGTGACAGGCCAAAACACGACTGGAGAAAAAGAATGCCGGACATAGAGCTCCGATTAGAAAAGAATAAAGTGAAATGCAATGAAGCAGCATGGAGAGAACAAAGGCATGTCTATGTCTACATCATCTGACCCAGGCCCCCTGCAAAAGCCGTGTTGCGGTTTAAATTAAATTCTAATTAATAGCAGTTGGGTTGAATTGACTCAAATTATCACTTTACATGCTGAAGCACCAATGGTTTCCATGGCAATATTTTCCCTGGGAGATGTCAGAGACTATCTAATTTTTTCGTCCCTGATATGTGACAACCTGAAGCTTTTAGTGCCTTTCATTGTGGGGCGGGCACGCTCGCTGTTAGATCATCTCAGTTTATTTCTGGGTGCACTTAAATGTGTGTGTTTTAGTGCAATTGGTGTCTGAGCCTGAAGTCTACCATTTTACATCTTTTGAGATCAGCACCCGGAGCACTTCATTTACCTTCTCGAGGAAAAGAAAGGGCTTTCCTGCTCCATCTCCTCCTGACCTGCTCTCTGGGACAGGAAGGAATTGGAGGTTAAAGAATTCACAAATTCTTACATATGCTGTTCTTACCACCAACTTCTAAATCACTCTTGCACCCGAGCACCTGCTTTAAAATTCCCCTTAATCGTTCATTCTGTAAACAGATTTTGTCCGTGCAGTTAGCACAATTCCTGAGCTCGCCGGTGTTTCTATGAGGAGGTGACGTTTCTCTCTGCGCCGTCCCATGTTGGAACAAGGGCATGTGCTTTCTGTACTTCCACAGCTGGTTCCCAGGTCTTACTCTACCACATTGCTCGGTAGATGCTGTGGATTTACCCTTGTCAGACAAAGCGTCTTACTCAGCTTCTGAAGTCAGGCCGAGAGAGCTAGAGGCCTTTCAACCTCACTGGCCTTCCTCGGCAGCCCAGCAGCCACCAGCAATGGGGAGAATACCTGGGCTAAATCGCTTGGTTGCCTTAAGACCATGAAATACGATGATAATTTGACAGCCAGTGCAGACAGTCCTGTTCTTACAGTGGATTCTGGGTTCAGATTCTAAAGGGTACCTTGAAATGACCCTTCACATTTGGACCTACTCAGTGTTTGCCAGCGGGTAGTTTCTTCATACTTTAGCTCCACTCAACCTGCTCAACCCTCCAGCAGATGGGTGCAGGGGGCCTCATAGAAGGGAGCGTGTGTGATGGGGAGCTTGCCGTTCAATGCGGTCTCTTGGGCCTCTGCATTTCCAAGAGGATGTTGGTATTGGGGCAAGGTCAGTTGCAATGAAATCATTTGAAATATATCTGTCAAAATGGTTATCATTCTGCTGGCTGGAATAAAATGGATTCTCCTCAAGGGAGTAAGCGCCTTAGGACAAGAAGGCTTAAGTTATCAATAAATCCCTGAAAGTAGGGAGAACAGCAGGAAACAAGGTGGGGAAGGCTGTGGCTCTTCGGGAAAACAAGAGCAAAACGCATCCATCCGAGGTGGGAAAGAAGGGTTGAGGAGTCACGCGACGAAATGCCCAGGGTTAATGGTACACTTGACTCAGCCTCCCTGTCTCTCCACAGCCAGTGCCGACTTCCCCTATAACCCCGGACAAGGTCAAGCCATCAGAAATGGAGTGAACAGGAACTCGGCTATCATTGGAGGTGGGTGCTCTCCTGAGGCTGCTCACCTGTGGGCCTCAATAATTTTCAATAAAGTCGTCGTCTAGGGAAAAAATTCCTTTCGGAGGCAAGTCTGATCTTGACACTACTCATGTCAATTTTGGCTTTATTTTGCCTCTTAAATATGACAAGATGGTAAAGTAGGGATGTGGAGGAACTGCTGACAGGCATAAAAGAAAGGTAGAGGGGAGGTAGCCAGAGTGGGAGTCCCCTATGCCAAGTCATTTCTTCCTCCTGCCTCTGTTGGTCTGTTTTGTCCTCTCACAGCTCACATGGGCCAGGATACCTTAGCACCAAATGAGGAGGGATAGATCAGATGTGGGTTTCTTCATAAAAATGATCAGGAATAGGCCAACATTTCTCAGATCTTCTGGTTGTCTCCTCGCCACAGACAGCTGGAAAATGACCATCCTGCTTGGCTCAGTCATGCTAACCCTGGGGCCCACTAGACCTCTTCTCTCCATGTTTCTTCTGTCTTCTAAAGATGTTTTGTGCTCGCTGAGTCTAGCTCATGTTGTAAACATAACAAGGATTTTAAAGGGAGCCGATCAACTTGGCTTAGCCAGTAGGTTTCTTTTCCATGCGAGGAAAGTAGAGACCTGGGAAGCTAGATGTAGATAGATGACTAAAATTAGAATGATTCAAAGTGGTGCTTAAATTGTGTTTTCCAGCATTCTGGCTTGATCTTATTCTCGTGTGTGTTTATTACTGAGGTATAATAGGCAGTTGTTTAGGGGTAATAGGTCAGTGACTTCTGACTAATGCATCTGCCCCTAATCACCCATATGTCTGTCAAGATGTAGAGCGTTTCCATCCACAGAAAGCTCTGGGGCCCTTGGTGGTCAACCCTGCCCCTGCCCCACTGCCAACCAGGGCAACCGCTGATCTTCTTTCACTCACATAGAGTACTTTCCCCTCCTTCAGAGTGTCAAATGAATGGAATCATAATACGTGACCTGCTGCACTCTGCCTCTCTCATGTGGTTGAGATGATCATATGGTTTTTCTCCTTTATTTTCTTAACATGCTAAATTAGTATGGCATTCCTGGTCATACTTCATAATCTTTTTTTTTTACATATTGCTGGCTTTGATTTGCTATAATTTCATTGATGAAAAATGTCCTATCATTTCCTTATAATATCTGGTTTTAGTATCAGGATAATGCTGGCTCATAAATGAGTAGTGTTTCTCCTAGAGTTCAAGATATGTAGGATTGGCATTAGGTCAAGTGTGTTAAGAGTGTTGTTCAGGTCTCTATCCTTGCTGATTTTCTATTTAACTGCTCTATCAATTATTGAGAGAATAGTGTTGAAATATATTAATACAAGCATGATTATATACAAGTATAATTCTGAATAGGTCTAATTCTTTCTATCCATTTTTGCTTCATTTATTTTGAAGCTATTAGGTATATATGTGATTTGCTTTCTAGAATCATTATTTATACATGTTCAGAAGCATTCTAATCTTCTGTCTAGAAATTGCCTTGATTCAGAAAACTAGGAAAAAGTGAAGGGTCTAAGTGTGTTTTTTTTTTTTTTTTAATCTCTTTTCTCAGATGTCACGGTTCTTTGCTTGTTGTCCACAGTTTAAAAACAATTATTTCATTATCTTGCCCAGTATTTTTACTTTGAGCTCAGCTACAAGTTACTCCTATTGTTCCTGTGAGCCCTTCAAGGCCAGAAAAAGGAAATCTTATTATTTAGAGTTTTGTGTTTTATAAGGGAGGGAGCAGTGTTTGAGGGAACCTAAGTGGGGAAAAGTGTTGGGGGGTACATAAGACGTGTTTAATCTCTAGTTCTCCCGTCCCCCCAGGGGTCATCGCCGTGGTGATCTTCACCATCCTCTGCACCTTGGTCTTCCTCATCCGGTACATGTTCCGTCACAAGGGCACCTACCACACCAACGAAGCTAAGGGGGCGGAATCGGCAGAGAGCGCAGACGCCGCCATCATGAACAACGACCCCAACTTCACAGAGACCATTGACGAAAGCAAAAAGGAGTGGCTCATTTGAGGGGTGGCTCTTTGGCTAGGGGACAGGGAGGGGGGAACTCTGGGGTGGAGGGATAGGGACAAAAGCACCCTGCTTCATACTCCTGAGCACATCCTTAAACTATCAGCACAAGTTGGGGGAGGCAAACAACAGAAAATTCTTGAGACTGATCACCACAAAAAATACTTTTTAATATTTCTTTATAGCTGAGTTTCCCCTTCTGTATCAAAACAAAATAATACAAAAAATGCTTTTAGAGTTTAAGCAATGGTTGAAATTTGTAGGTACTATCTGTCTTATTTTGTGTGTTTAGAGGTATTCTAAAGACCCATGGTAACAGGGCAAGTTTTCTACATTTTTAAGAGCCCTTAGAATGTGGATATTTTTTTCTTGAGAAAAGCTGATGCACATACATATGACCTCCAGCATTCTCTTCGTTTTGCTTATAGTCAACTTTTAATGGGCTACTGTAGTAACTAGTTCGTGTTCATATAATTCCTCTTCTGTCCTGTCAATGGTAAAGAAAGGGACAAAGGGAATTTACTATCTGCCAGTTTTCAGAGACCTCAGTCTAAGCCAATGGTCTGAGGTTCTACCTGACGCAGTGGAAGGAGGAAAAATGTGTGGCATCCTTTATGAAACAACATAGTCTACACAACAGAGGGCATCACAACAGAGGGGAATTAGCTTCCTATTGGGAATGGCTTTATTTCTCATCTAGTTCTGCAAGGTAATAGCGTCCCATGTATGTCGTCTTAGACCTGATCAGTATCACTATCAGCTACAACACCACAGTGACCAGCTATTACAAAAGATTTTAGCCTACACCTATTGGATCACATTATGTGTGTGAGCATCCCAGTGGGAAATGAGAGCTACTATTTGTTTCTTTCATAGTGTAGTGAGAGTGTGGACGCTTCCCAGTGAGTATGTGAATTAGGTTGCTCTTCTCATTTTGCTTTAAAACTCATTTTTAAGCCCCTGTGATACAATCCTAGCAGAGCGTCCACTGAATGGACATGCCGTAATAAAGCCAAGTTATGACCACTATTATTATCATCGTTATTACTCTGAAATCAAATGGAAAACACTGCCAAATTTTAAGTCCTCCATGTAGTGTTCCATCCCAAACAGACAGGCTGCCATGATTCAGGGATCTTCTGTGGCAGCACATTGGAACCTCAGTTTCACCACACAGCTGGTAATTGTTGCTTCTCAGACAACAAACATGTCTAGTCAATCACACCTTGACCAACTATTCCAACAAGTAACTCCCTGATTTTATCTGATGAAATAGGCTTTGAGTAAACAAGTGGGACAAAGCTTCTATAGGACGATCCAAAATAATCAGTTCATTTACTTCTAAAAAGATTACAAACTTTATTTCTTGCATAACTACCATTTAGGATCATTAGGGTTCAGGCTCTTATACTTAATAAACACTTTTAGGAAAAAACTAAACTTCCACATTTGGGGGCATTCAGCATGACTGCTTTTTTCCTTCTCCTGGAAAGGGGTAAGATGAGGTTTAAAATGTATTGGTGCCAGTTTTCTGATGGCCTGCCTCAATAAAATGGAAATTCTGGCTCATTTTGTTAGGGTTATTGATACACTGTCAGGATACTCTGTATAGCTAACTTACTGGAGGATCTCAACTCCTTGAATAATGGAAAGTGTTATCCAGAGCTGCCACGGTACATTTCACCAATACATACACATTCCAGAGGGAGTATTGACCAACAGTTTACTCCTTACACAAGTCAAGGCAACAGAACTAGAGGAAGTCCTTTTGCTCTTGGTTGCTGACCTCAGACATTATTAGAATTTGTCTTGATCATTTTTTAAAAGGTCTTGATCATTCTCCATAAGGCACATTTAAAATGCAAAGTATTAAAGAGTACTAAGTGTCAGCACAATGTAAGATTTGCAAATGACATGCTGAAGACAAAGGGTGTTTAGTTAATCAAGATGACTGCCATTAAGGGTTCTTTTATGTATTGTAAAATTGAAAAAGCTGATTTTAAACACTGTCTTAGAGATGTTTCGTGTTCTTTTAGACCTCCTTTGTGTTATATTACTTTTGCACTTCATGCACAATGCCAGATGGAAATTTATTTCTTGCATTTCCCATGATAGCTCGATTCTTTATGCACAGTCTCAGCACTTTCTTTCCAAAACGAGTAGGGGATTAAAAGAATCAAAAACCTCTCCTGATACTTCAGTGTTCTCACTGTTTCTCTGCCCTCACTACTTTCCTCTTTTTCTACCACCAGAGGCAAAAAATAAAACTAAACATTTCTCTTGCCGAATTTTGGAAGCTTGGGCACAGAAATTGACTGCAGGGATGAGGAGTGGCTCCACCCTTAAGGGGGTTACAAGCCAGCCAGGGGCCAGCACACAAAAGACAGAGAAGGTGTTAGTTGGCAAGGTGGGGTGGAGGGCTGGAAACCTGGGATTGTGATCTTGCACCAAAATTTCTAAGTGTAATTGTGCAGTCCTTATCCAGTGCACTCTCTGTGGTAAATAATTTGCTTGGGTGAAGAAAGAGAAGCAAGCTTTTTCATCCAGCTCCCCTCTCCCTGCAAGCTCAGAACAACACACCTGCCCCCCCACCCCTGCATTCAGACCCAAGCTGGCTCCCAGTCTCGTTTTGTCAGTCATTGACCAAAAAACCTCCTCCTCTGTATCCCGATACACCATCGGTGGAGCACAGATCAGCTGGTGGCAGCCTCTGGGAGTAACAAGAAAATGAAAACAAACCAAACTTTTCTTAGATAAGAGGCCGTTTTAAGCTTCCAGAAAACTTGTGGCCGGTGGAGGGTGGTTTGGGCAGGAGGCCTGCTCTGTAAATAACAAGCACCTGTGTTTCGAGAAGCTGGAAGGGGCTTAGACTGCAGCGAGCACAGTACCACACGGGCACCGCAAACCACTCCCTGGGTCAAGGAAACCTGCGCAGGAGGTAAAAAGCTGTATGAAGGTATATTCCCTGGCTTAATATAGGAAAACATTTCCCGGTGACTTTTAACCAGCTACTCAGAGGGAGAGACTGGTGACATGGAGGCTTTTCTTGAACTCATGTGAGAGTTGGGGTGCAGGTGTTAGACCAATGTCCTGTGGCCCCGGGTTTGATAGACAAGCATCCTTCACTCCCAGGAGCAGAAATTCCGAGGCACAGGAAAAAAGACTTGGCTCTCTCCAAAGAATAGATGTTAACGTGAGGGGTGAGCGGCCGTGGAACAGCCTCGGATGCCACACCGAGAGCTGGACCCGGCGCCAGGCCCTGAAAGCTCTTCAGGAAAAAGCTAACGGCCCCCAGGTGTGAACATGAGCAGTGTAGCGTCGGGAAGAAACGTCCTTCTGTCTCTGAGTCTGGACAGTCCTTCCAAGTGCTCGTTTCTCCCTCGCCATTTTCTTAAGGTGCAAACGTTCTGGTCATCCCTTTACATCTCGCGCCTCCAAACGATAAACACCTGATGAGCACGTCAGAGCTTCTTCCCTTTCGCCCTCCCCGTCAAGCAGTTCTCAAAAGGCAGTTACCCAAGGGAGTTCCAGGGAGCAGCCGCAAACAGGACTGGGATGGAGTCCCCCCGAGACCCTGATGCTAAAACAGGTGACAAACCACGGCCACACCCCTGGCTGATTTGAGCTAAAAACTGGGGGCCCCGTTTGTTAAATGTTTGGAGGACATAGACCCCGAGGGTCAGCTGAACTCTGACCTTTGTCATTCCTGAACCCGTCCTTCCTCACCCCGTTTTTAAGACAGATGTTTCACCTCCTCCATGAGACAATTGTGAGGCGCCCTGGGTTCTCAGTGGCAGGATGCTTTGAAACGAAAGGCCAAAGTCGGGGAGGCCCGTGGACACGCACCCGTGTGCAGGAACGTAGGGTCTTGTGGGTCGTTGCTCCACAGCTGCTCAGTTGTTAGACGGCCGGGGAGCAAATCCGTCAACTTGGGGAGATGCAAAGACGTCAGACCTCACACTCCTGAAGCCCTCGGGCCCCGCTGGGGGTGGCGTGTGGCTGGGCGGGCTTCTTAGCAAAGACCACATAGAAACTGGAGCTCAGCTCGTAGCTGGGGCCCTCGGCCTGTGCGTTCCCTGCATAAGGCTGGATCCTTCCCTCTTCTTCCCTGCAGTACCTCTTGGGCACCGGTAGTGTGTAAAACGCGTCATGACGCAGGGAAGCCGTGTGGAAAGGTGGGTCTCTCCTGCTGAGCAGAGACTGGTAGGAGGTCAGCACAGCAGGTGGACACACAGGGGTTAATAGCCAACGTGCATTTACAAGTTTATTTTCCAGATGAAAATGTGCTTTAAGAACAGGTCTACCAAGCTGGTCTGCACTGCTTCCTGGCCCGGGCTGTCCGCGGGGAGGGCCGGGTTCTGGGCCCGGGCAAACCCAGGGCTCCTCTCACTCGGCCAAGAAGCAGTGCCCAGTGATACTCCTTCTAAGTTCTGTTCTGTCCAGTTTTTGAATTTTTTTCCAGTGAGCATGGTGACTGCAGAGGTTAGAGTTGTGAAAAACTGGGCTAAATATTCTTTCTGTCAAGTCGATTAAGATTCCATCCCTGTGAAATAACACAAAATTTCACTCTCTAAAAGCAACAGCATGTAAACTAGAATGAAAGAAGGAAATTATGTATGTATGCCTAATATTCTTTGTGAATGTCTTTCATTTAACTAAAGTTATATTAGAAACCAGATTGATAAATAAAAAATCCAAAATAGTTTTAATTATCCTAAAAGTGAGTCTTTGTGTTTTGTTCCACTCGATTCTCTTAGAAGCAATTGTCCTACAAAAGAAACTCTGAGCACCAATATCTTTCCAAAATGATGATAATCTTTCCCAAAGTTATGGAGACAAGGTCGCTCCCTGTGGGCAAGTGTTTTCCAGATACCTCCACGGTCACTGGCTGCTGCCCTCCTCACTCTCCTTAGCTGGATGGATACTGGCTTCATGCTTTGGATTCACTTCCACACAGCTTGATAAGATGTGGCAAGGGCGAAGAGAGGCCCAGAACCTACTCAGAGCCGTGTTTGGAACCAGGGGAGTGAGCCTGGAGTGACAAATGGCTCCAAGTCAGTGGAGTAGGTGACAGGTTTCAACTCACTAAAGGTGCAAAACTTGGTAATCCACAAGGAGTGCATCCTGAATTACTTGATGATCCTGAATTATTTCTCAGACTTCAGTTACCATGGGAAGCCATTTCCTTTTAATCAATCCTCAGTAAAGCCTTTAAATGTACATCAAGTAAGTGTGGACTCTAGCACACGCCTCACCTCTGTTCTGCAGCAACTCCCAAGGCCAATGGCTAGTAATGGCCTCTCTGTGTGGGGATTCTGCTTTGCAAACGTGGCCCAATAGGTGCAGGGAGCATGTCATAAAGCCTCTTGGGAAAGAAAGCCAGCCAGAATTTACAAAGAGCACATGTTTAAAGGAGGAACCCCAAGTTCGGGCATAACGCCTCCAACAAGAGCTTGGCAGCCACAACTTGCTCCTTCTCCTGGTCACACTGACCATTAACCCGAGATCCATGGTTCCCGGTGTGGGGCTGTGACTGTGTTTTGCACACGGCCATATTTATTATGTGGCTGGGAGGTCTTGGGGAGCTGTGGGGAAGAGGTTCAGGGGAGGAAAGAGATCTCCCTTCACCTTGTCAGTCATGACATTGCAGGCCGACTTCCCAGAACATAGAAGAGGCACTGAGTATTGTTCTTGAAGGGTTTGTGTCCCCAGTGTACTAGTGCAAGTGTGCCGTGAGCTGTGGTTAGTACATGCTCACTTTTCTTTGCTCACCAGAAACGAGTTCAATGAAACCTGAGCTAAATAACCCCCATACCTGAAGTCTTTTCTACCAGCAAGTCCTGCCCCCCAACACCTCTTCCCAGACACGCCCAACCTGCTGATAGAGCTAAAACACCGCCACCGCAACTGGAGCAGCAGAAGAAAGCAAGTTTCCTGTTCTGATCACATTTCTGTGATTTTCCCATTCCTGCTGCTTCATCCTCTGGGCATATGGGAAGTAAAAGCTCTTGGGACAGAGTAAGGAAGAAAACGCCAATGCCAAGTCTTCATCGAAGGAACAAAATCAACAATTTTTAACTCTAAAGCATGAGAAACTTAGTCATTTCTTCTAGAAATAGGATGTCAAGATCATAGAATTGAAACTCGAGATGTGACAGGTGAAAAAAAGCCCATGATGACAAGAATGAATTTTTTGTGTGTTCACAAATTAAAAAGCTGGGGGATAAAATTCTCAGTGTAGGCGACAAACAGCAAGAATGGGACTCGAGGGCAAGCTTCTCAGTCATGAGCGACAGAAGGAAGCACTGAGCTGGCTTCCCGAGACCTGGAAAGTCAGGGTGGGGCACAGCCTCTGAATGCCAGAGGAAGCACATTTAGGACAAGGAAATTAAAACCTGCTCTAAGGGGGAGCTGCTAAAAATCGTTGCAGGCAAAAACACAGGAGCCTATGATTATCTTCCCAAAGTGACCACGGTAATTTCAATCATGACCTCACCCCTGGATTTTTAAAGGAAATCAGTGTAAGGGGCCAGTTGGTTATGTAGACTCTGGGATTCCCTGGAGAACAAGGCAGACACACCCCTGCTTGCATGAAACTTAGGTTCCAGTGGGAGCACTGAGGTATCAAGCAAATAAACAATATGCAAGGAAATAATTTCTAAGCAGGGAGTTAAAATAAGGCGGTGTGACCCCATGACTGGGTGAGGGAGGACTTCTCTGCTCGGGGACGGTGTCTGGAGACCCTCAGGGAGTGTCAGCCCAGAGTTGCAGGTGATCCAAGCATCTGTCATTAGAGAATCAACTCTGTCCAATAAGGCTGAGAATGCTGTTAGAAGTCACAATCTAGATCTATGCAGCAACCCTAAATCTTCTAGCTTAAAAATATAGTAAGCCGTGAAAAGAAACGTTAGATTCATAAAGCAGTAGAATTTATTGAAATTAAAAACCTGCACACAGCACAACAAAACATTATTCCAGGATAGATGAATCACTGAGGATGTGTGTCTGGACATAGATCCTTCTGTCAAATACACATTATGTTGCAGATAAAATGTTATATTCAGGAGAAGAAAATGGAGTGGGGAAGGGGTCCGAGATAAGGAAAGCAAAATGAAACAAGGAAGACCAATGATGGCCGACGGCCAGAGGGTGACCAAATGCCGCATTCCAAGAAGTATCGTCCTTTAAACCTCAGCCCCAAGGGAGGGGGCACAAACAAGGGTCCTGTGGCAGGAAGCACAATGAAATCAGGGTCTACCTATGGGGAGGGAAACCGATGTGTGTATGGCAAGAGATGTAACTGCTAACATAACAAATCCGTAAGTCACCGTCAGTTAACAGGCAGAAGCAAGGTGGAGGGAGCTTTTGCAGGCAGAGCATTTTGTTCTTTTAAATGCAACAATGGGGCCTCCCTCGTGGCGCGAGAGGTTAAGTCTCAGGACTATGAAGTTATCCACCGCCACTGCAGCATGAGTTCAGTCCCCAGCCAGGGAGCTACCCACATGGTGCAGCAGACCTCTCCTGTCTCCCTGCTGCTCTCCTCAGCAGTGTATTTCAGTCAGTCTGCCTGTTCTGCTCCCCACTCTGTCTCTGGCGAATTCTCTCACCACCACCACCTCCCCCCCCCCGTATACCTCTGGCCCACACCCCATCTCTCATATGCATAAATAAAATCTTTTAAAAAATAATAAATGCAACAATGATCCTCTTATTACTAAACTGGAGGGAAGGGGGCCTGACGTTCCACAACCCCTCTCCCCAGCAGATGGGGACGCAGCAGCCCCTCACCCAAATGGGAAAGCCAACATGTACTTCTGTATCCAGAGCCAGAAAAACCATCCGTATTCTAGACTGACCTGCAAATGACTTTGCTCGTAGCTGGGTGTCTGATTGAAGCATGCAAAAATAGACATTAATTGTGAAATCACTGTTGCTTACATTTATTGAGGAGACATTGGTTTACAGCGCTGTATATGACTTAGGGGTACAGGTTCACACCTCCTCAGATGTACATTATCATCCCCACTCACCAGCAGGGCACCCATAGTCCTGCACCACAGTCCATCGGATACCCCCTCTGCTTTGTTTCTTGCTATTCCACATGAGTGAAATCATCAGGTCTTTCTCCTTCTGTCTTAACTTCATTTACCATAATCCCCACTCACGTTGTCACAAACGACAAGAATTCACCTTATCATAGCTTATCATACACATTCCATTGTGTATATACACATCTTAATCCACTCCTCTGTCCTTGGCACTTAGGTTGGTGAAATCACCTTTTTTAACTTGTACAACTTGTACAGTCCTGCAGCTTAGGGCTGTTTCAGGAGCTGGGCAGAGGTCTATTGTCACCTGTTAGTTCCCTCATTGTAAAGAAAAGTCTCCTGATTAAATCACAGATCTTCCTAGAAGCACGCCTTGGGCTTTGTTGGAAACACAAGATGCTTCGGTAATATATTTCTGGGTGATCAAGTTATAACTCCTCTAAATTAAATTTACAGAACTCATTGGCTTTTATGCCAAGCAGTAACCATGGCATCCCCTTTAAATCATTACAAGTGCAGCAGATATATTGATTACTGCCAGACCTGTCATTGCGAATCTCAGTTTAAGCACTGCAGGAGTGAACTCTAAAGCTTAATTAGTCTCCCCGTCTGGTGTCATAAAACACAAGTCCGGGACATATGGGGAAGAAGCTTAAGTAAATGTGAATCATCTTCAAAACATGAAACCAGCAAACCGAGCAGAGAGCTGGATCTATTCTGAGTCAAAGTTCCTTCCTTGATGCCTGTGCTGCATTACGTGATTAATTGGGAGGAAAATAGCTGCTTGTCCTCCTCAAGAAGGCAATTTCCGTGACAACTGAGGAAAAGGAACAACCAGCCAACATCAGGTCATGTGGGGAGGGGATCTGGACACCATCTCCAGACGCCATCGCTCAGCTCCCGAGGGAACTGTCCCTGGAGAAACCAGCTGTCATTTCTGACACCGACTCCAACAGGCAGGGAGGTAAGTCACAGGGAATCTTTGATCCTTCGTAAATGAATATAATCACATTTCCTGTCCTTGGCACCCTATTCTACAACCCTAAGTGGTCACTACCAAAATTTTAATGGCTGCATGATTCCAACATGACTATCCCCACACTTACTTTACTACCTACTTTACCTGTCTTGCCATTAACTTTAGCTCTCGCATTGAATATCTAGTGTCTAAAATTTCCCTAGTATTGCAAAGAACGTTCTGAATGGATGTTTTTGTTTATTCCTCATTCCTTTATGATAAATCCCTAGAAATGGAATGCCCCACCCACTGGTACATTTGATTCACGTTGCCAGGGGTCTGCCCAAAACCTTTACCGATTTATACTCCTCACACCACCATCAACCACAGGCATGAGGCTTTTCCATCTCTGCCAAATTAAGAAGAGGGAAATACTATCTAAATATTAATCTAACTTCCTTTCACTTGCATTTCACTGATTACTAATGAGGAGGGAAGAGCTTTTCAAATATTTTTGAATTCTTTGAGAATTTCTGTGGGACTTGATCATACAGGAGTAGGAGGCTTTGATTTTTTTTTTTTTTTAATTTGCACCAAGTCCCACTCCCACCAGCAATCTTTGAGAATGTCTGATTTCGGGAAAGGGATGGAGTGGTGTGAACTGGACTCACTGGGGATTGAGCAGGGGAAGCCATTGGACCGG